TGGAATGGTTCTGAATGCTTCCAACAAATTGATAATTCATGAAACAGAACTTGAAAAATCTGTTCCAGTATTTTGGAATATCTACAAACAAAATGTGACTTGATCTCAGAGTTAATCAGCGAGTAAATGAGGAGACAAAAGTTTTCTTAGTGTCCTCGCCTCACTGTGCGACTCTCCTCCCTGAAGAGTAACACACGCGCAGCTCTTTTCTGTCGCAGTAATGGCCGTTTCGCCCCCCCCTAAAATACATCTCCCACAATAGCTCAGTGAAGCAGCCTGCAATTACACAGCCAGAGCCGTCTCATTAAATAAGTGTCTAGTGTAGGGTTCTGTAGTCTGCAGAACAATGGGTCCGAGAAGAGCAGCAAACACAAGGGGGACTCTCAGCTCCGCCATCTAGAACATAAGCCGTTTATTTCTGTAATCAGGCCTTCTGGGTAACATCTCAGAAAGTCACCAGACATCAAAAGCACTGCTTAGAGGAAACACTCAACAGGGAATAAGTGATTCTAGCAAATGCCAAAGACTGATGAACCTGTGTCACTGAAGGGGGGCACATGTGCCAAAGTCAACACATTCAGGCGCCATTTCTTCTGAACTTCTAGATGCAGTAACTTCAATGTGACCATAAATATTATTAGAAGGAAGAACAGTAAGAGACCTCCTATAGCTGTCCCAGATAGAGGAGTTATGTACCTGCTTGGAGTGAAAAGAAAAACATAAATGCAAATTACTATAAGCCAGAAACCATTCGGAAAGGGAGAGTATACATGAAAGAAGGGGTGGGAGTAATAATAAGAGCAAAGGAAAATCATATAACTACTGAGTAGATTGTTTAATTATTAGGGTTAACTGGCTATCAATGTTATTATATTATAAGAACCAAAAAAATATCCACAACTATTGAAGGGACAAAAGTGGAGCCAGAATGCCTACTCAGCATGGCACTTAAGGATGCCATAATTGCCATAATTATTATAGTTTTAATCATTTTCTTTAAAGGGGGGATCATATCTATTTTAACTGTGAGGCTCCAGTGAGATTACCTATAAAGTTAGATTAAATAAAAAAAATAATATAATTAACTAACTCCTGGATTTATAAAACTTTCATGGTGTTATTTTGGAATATCAAAGAACAGTCTGGAAGGCAAGATGACGGTTTTGTTTTTTTTTCCTAAAAAGTTCATAGAGCAGTTTATGTGTTTAAAGGTTGGTTTCCTCGGTATTAGCTTTGGTGTAATGGTCAAAACCATCCCACCTGTCCAGGTAATTAAATAAATTATGCAGACCACAAGGTAAACAGAAAAAAACTCAAGATCTTCAAGATCCAAGTGATAGTTATAGTTATGATTGAAAGTTTTTATACCCTCCTATTAAAGTTAATGTAAAAATTGACAATAGTAACTCAACCAACACAAAACTGAAATTAATATTATAATAATTATAACAAAAATTTACTAAATTAGAATTAAGTAAAATAAAATATTGATTTTTTAATTAAAAAATCTAATAATTATAAAATAATCTCAGACATATAACAGTATCTTACTCATGAAGAGTGAAGCATCAACATATCTGTCAACAGGTGCAGAAGTCTGACTGAATATTTCCTGAACATTACAGAAAACCCCTGATTTCAATGATTGCTTCAAAGAGTCGCTCAACTAAATTTATGAATCAGCTGCCCGTTAAAATAAATTGAAATGGAAAGTTTATTTTTTTGCCAGCTGATTTCATCGGTCTTTAATGGAAGGGTGTGTAAACTTTCCAGCACAACTGTAATTTAGTTTCAACAGAAGTTGCACAGAGGGCTAATCATGTAGTACGGATAGAAAAAAAAAAAAAAAACAGATCCAAAACCATGTTGGCTGATATTTAGTTTGATTGGAACAAACTTGATTATTAGCTGGTAGGAGTTTTTGTTTTTTCTTAATTAGAGCCACAGGGTGCATCCACGTCAGGAAGTTCACTGATGGAAGAGGACCTATCAGCAGCTAGTTTCAGCATCAGTAGGCTGATAAAAAATGAAACTGAAGAAAGAACAGACTTAATGCTATGTGACATCCTAAGAACTGTCTGTTCTGCATTTATTGATGCAATCAGCTGGTTTTTCTTTGACAGAAAAGTTTGAACCAATCTGATGTTTGATCTGGTTGAATCGTCTCTGTAAAAATGCTTAAATTGAATTTAATTGAATTTAGGGGATGAGAAAACCAAAGCGTTTCTAAGAAGAGTTCAGGAAACAAAACAAAAAAACAACAAACAAACTAAAAGTTTTATAGTCTTTGTGAAACATTTGATTAGCAGCAAAATAAAAACAAACAAAAAAAACATTTTCCTCTCACTAATTATTTAGCTTCTTTTTTTTTTTTAGATTGTAAAACATCCTAAATGCATACTTAGGTATCCATCATCTATCGTGTTTTCAACTCTTTCTTAAGGGCTACAGTTAGTATGGAAGAGGTTAAGGGCCACAGAAAAAATAAAAAAACGTTAACTGATTTTTAAATTTTATTTCAGTTTTATATAAAAAGTCAGAATTCTGACTTTTTTCTTAGAATTCAGACTTTTTTCCTCAGAATTCTAAATTTAATCTCAGGATTCTGACTTTTCTCAGAAGACTTTTTCCCCATATTAAACTGAAATAACATTTAAAAATCAGTTAACTTTTCTTATTTTTTTAGTGGCCCTAATCCTCTTCCGTACAGTTAGTTGCTGAAATATTCATAAACATTTTTTGTTAGGGCTGAAGCCATTGATCAGATTATTCGACGATTGAAATAATCGTCAACTAATTTAGTAAGCGATTAATTGTTAATTGGAGTAGAGAGACTGAAAAACATGCCTTTAGCTGACAACGTGACCCAATTAGAGTAGTAATTATGCCAAAATTGTAAAAAAACATAAACATTTTGCAATTAAGTAAAAAAAAAAAACTTTTTTCGCCTTTCAATGTGCTCTATCCAAAACAAGTGGAAACATTTTAGTTTCCCCTGGTTTGATTTCGTAAAAAGTCTTCTTTAAAGAATCTTCGGCTATCAGATTATTAATAGATTAATCGATAAAAATGATTGACAGATTAATCGATTTACAAAACAATCGTTAGTCGCAGCCGTATATTTGGTAGATCCAAATTTAAACTTTAATAATTGTTCTAAACTGATATAAACTACGGTATATCAGGATTTAAGATGTGGTTGATGTATCATCAAGCATGTTGCAAAACTGTTCTAGAAATCTGCACTGACTAATTTCATCAGGTCATTTAGGGCATAAATCTATAATGCATTTGCTAATTGGACATCCTTGTTAGAGCTTGTGCTAACATAAGAGCTTGAGAAAAGTTTGCCCAGTGTTCTAAACACTGAGTCGCATCTGTCTGTTGACCAAACAGGAGCAAAGCACGTCATTCAGATCTTTAATCAGGACCCTGGCTGTTTATTAATCCTATCTTAACCGCTGTCATGCAGAGAAAGTGAACGTTTCATTACATTTCCTTACAGTCAAAGTCCTCCTACTTGCTATTAAGACGGCTGCCAGCAGCAGCAGCTTTAAAAAGCTGCATAAGTGTTTCGTCCTTCGAGCATTTTGGCAGCATGGCACTCAAGGGCATGAGTCAGAATGGTGCTCCACAATCCACTTCATCCTCTTACTACGGCTCAAAACCAACCAAACGGAGGGATGGGGCTTAGGCCTGCAGCGGAGGTAATGGGCAAAACAGAGTTGATTTGGTCTGAGGGGGAGGCGGGGGGGACATTCATGGGAACTGGCCGAGGAATTCCTGTTTGAAATGCTGTGCTAATCCTTAATTTGCCTGTGGGGATATCAGAGGAATAAAGCTAGACAGAGAGGGCTGGGGGTATTTGGTGCTTTATAAGCACAGATCATAAATGATCAAGCGATGATAAATAAAGAAATAAACAGGTGCATCTCCTTTGATTAGGTTATCATCAGAAAGGCCCCATTTCATTCTATTACATTATCACATAGCCAGGAATGGGTCTGCTAAGGGGCAGCGAGCCCAGCAGAGACTGGCTCATGTCAGCCACCATTGGGGAAAATGGCTTAATTACGCTTTCTACTTCTGGCGGCTGCTGGAACAGGTGCCCTGCTGCCAAACAGTCGACCTGAGCACCTTCCTCTCAGCTCAGACTGAAGCGCCTGACAGAAATCTCAATTTCTGATAAGCATAAGACAAATAATAGCAGCAAAGTCGGATCCACTGCAG